AATATCTGTCTTTGTTCACAACGACATTTCCATTAATTAGTGCATCGCTATATTAAAATTAAATTCAAAATTTATGTTTATGCCCAGAAATGTATCTCTAGGACACCAGAAGTGAAGAGTATGCAATTATAGGATATAGAAAGAAGAAAAAAAACAATTCACAAGTTTCCATTTGTTTAAGTAGGTACAATAAAATAATGAGTCTCGATGATGGGCTACAATATACTTCAACATGAGGCCGTTAAAAATACGTGTGCTCACCACAATGATGTACAGGTCGTATAACGGCTCCCCGTAAATGAATTACCATCAGAATTTCAACATCGAGTTTTATTTCTATCGTTCACGGTTTTCCTTTATTCTTCAATTATTCACCAACTTCATCACTTTCGGTACCGTTTGAACACAAGATTAGTTTCTCCCACATTCCGTTTTACTACTTATTATAAGTACATAACTTCAGTGCTTGTTACATAACGGTCAGCAGCTAAAAAAATCGTCAGTATTTTTTATTCTTATTATTTTTTCAATGTATACAGTATACCACATAATAAAGATAGATTAGTCTGGCAATATTATTTTTACACGGTTTATCTGTAGCAAAATAGGAGGGTAAATTAAAAAGATAAGTATTAAACATTCAAAGGGATTCGCAATAGGGGTAAGGAATCTGATGAGATACATGTTTATTACCATATATGTTTGACCGAAAAAAGGTTACGCAACAAATACATCATTGTTCCATTCAAAATCAAAAACAGCTCTTTTAAATTAATGAAAGTTATTATTAAACTTGAATATAATAACAATTTGTAGTACCTACTACCCACTATCTACTATATATTACTACATAAATTCTTTGAAAATATCAGTTAACAAGATAAAAAATACAATAACGACTCCAGGAATTTATACTCTATCTACATAAAATGTACCTTTCATCAAAAAGTGACTTAAAATAGTTAATATACTAAAATGCACTTAGATCAAACTAAATGCTTCATGATTTATTTCAACGAATAAAATATACGTAAAATAAAATTCATAAGACTTTTTTGTGCTACAAACCAATTTTGTATTATCTAAGATAAAAAAAACTCATTTCAATACTGTTTAATGTTAGGTCATTCTTTTATTGCTTTTTAAATACTACACTATTTCAAAGAACTTTTGAAACCACCCCTATATTAAAGTTATCAACCCCTTTAATGTTCCAAAATAATGGTATTTTCCTGTTACTGAGAAAACTACGTCCATAACATAAGTTCTTTTTACAATATTATAATATTTAACTAACAATTATTGTATATCAAACTTTTTAAGAGTGAAATACTTTAAAACTTTTTTTAACAATAATAGAAATGACTAAATATTCTTTAGTTTAAGGATTTCAACTGTCAACATTTGTGAAAGTTTTTTGATATTAAAAATCAGTATCTGGTTTAAGTAATAATAATTAAAATAAAGCGAAAATAAAAATGTTTAACAAAAACAGTATATAAAACATGTATATTAATACCTATTAATATACATATAAATAATATATATATATTAATATATATATTAATATCACTGCTAAAATATAAAATTATAATTCCTAATAATTAGAAATAATATAATGATTTTTATACACTTTTAATAATTATTATACATTTTTTTCCTTGACTTATTCAATCATACTTAAATTTATACAAAAATTGTATCAAATAAATATTTATTAAAATATAATAGATAAATATTATACCCTTTGCTCTTTGTAACAATTCATATTATCAATTATTTAATTATTATGATCACTTATATATAATATAATACAATTTTTAGTTCTTTATTTTGTGAGTTGAATTTTCTTACTGAATGATACTAATTACCATCATAATCATGTATACTTTAGTTAAAAAATAATGAGAAGTAAATCTACTTTTCTCCTATTTCGTAGTGCATTATATAAGTTGTCATTTTGTTGTAAGTATAACAGAATAGGATCTACAATATTCCAATAATTGAGATAATATTACAATTGTTGAGGTACAACTTTAAGAAATTAAAAAATGAGTAAAGTGAAAATGTTACGAAGGTTTAATTTGGAATTTACAAACATATGTACAATGTTGGTGTACACAAACCATACTTCCTAATATATTATGTGAATACAATAATAACGAAGCAGTAATGAATCACAATAATATTACCTATTACCTACCCACTTTATACTAATATATTATTTTATTTGTGTTAATATTGATTTGTGTTGCTGGGTATCAGTGCCCTAGTTGCTGGCTTTGGTTCTAATATTATGTCACATTTGTTTGTTGGCTGTCAGCTAATGTATTACATATAGAGCGAGGTTCACGAAGAATGCTTCTCCAAGAATTAGATATTAGTGATATTACTCATTAGTCTGTAACACTCAGTTAATTATGGCAACATATTTATCATTGTATATTATTGTAATTTAAGTTTTATATTTTATGTTTAAACTCATACCTATATAGTATATATATATTGTAACAGTATTGATTAAATTGTATTACCATTGTAGGTTTTATTGAACTTTATTTGTGAACCAGCTATAAAAACAAAATAATATTTTATTCTGAAAATCATCATACAGCGCATGATGAGATGTATAGTATTGCCACAGGACTATTTTACATTTAAAAAAAAAACTCATGTCATCAGAATAAACTATTGTTGCGGATACCGTGAAGTTAGAAAAATATGTATCAACTGATTGTATGTGTGCGTAATAGGAGAGTGTTGATATAAAAATATTATCAACGAAAAAACATTTTTCGAAAATACATAGGTATCAACTACCAACAAGGAAAACTATACTCGCTTTAATATAGAATAAAACTTCCTAGTATGACATAAACTCATTATACGACGATTAAGGTCATCAAAGTAACGTTTACAATATATGAATAAAAGTAGCGTACAATATTATGAAGAGTGGTATTAGTCTAGAATTAACAAAAAGGCAGCGCACCCATGAAATTTGAATTATTCTAAAATTATTAGGTACTCTAGATTTGCATTTTCCTAAAATTTCAAATCCATTACCCAAACACTCTAAGTCCCTCATTCACATTATTTTATACTGAATAGTAAATACTGATAAATGATAATAATAAACTTTGGGGGCACGAAATATTTATTAAATTTTAAAATGTATGACATGGTGTAATTAGTATTCAGGCACTTTATAATTTAGAGGCTCCGGTTCATAAATATTTTAGAAGCACTTGTCCCAACGATGTAGAGGCAAATAGAGTGAAGCTTAGCACCTAGTTAAAATATCCCACTCTACCAGCACAAAATATTAGTCAACATTAATTGTACAATGGAATTATTTTATTTGTCCCATGATCGCACAACATTATTGCTGACAGATAAAAGTTCAATGAAACATATTCAAGTGAATTTAATTTTAAATAATCGAAATAAATATAAGCACTTTCCTATAATTATAACTTAATCACTTTATATGGTTAGTATAGACTATATGCACTTATCTGCTGGGTTGAGTTTCATCTCTGCTCCCTTATTATTATTTAAATTGAAAGATTTTAGCTTTAGGTAATCTTCTTTGGGTTGAGTATGAGATGCAATATATTACGGGAATGTCGAGAACAGGTTAATTTAACAAAATTTGCTACAACGTCAACATCAAAATATATTATTATATGACATTTTATACGCAGAAAAATGTTTGAGATAAAATATGGAGCCGTAGTATAAAAAATCTGAGGCTTTATGGTTGTGGGTTGTGGCACTGATGTCCGCTGTTTTATATTATAATCATCTGTGCCTGCTATATTTCAAGCTACAACAAAGGTTAAAACAAATAATATGTAACACATTAGTAGAAAATACATGAATGTTATGTTATTATATCACACATTGATTACTTATTATTTTCAATGACTTTTATTTTCGTTAGATATCTATTTAAATCATAATATACGTCAGAAATATTCAAACTTTTTCATTCGATGACTCCTTTGTCTTTTCTCCACATTTTGGTGGTTCCTTAATAATTATTAAGAACAAAAAAAGTTTATTTTAATAACGCAAAATTAAGGTAAATATAAAAATGCCTATACTAACACCTAATGACCTATGTTTCCACGGACGATTCCCCTTGATAAAAACAAAAATGCCTATAATACCTGTAACTATATTAAAATCTGATATTAAATTTAAGAACCTGTATGATTTCCCACACTTATAAGTTCTAGACTTCTAGAGAATAATACCAGATGTAAATATTAGAATCACGCCATTACCTTTCTCCAGGTGTTCGAAAGGATCTCAAGGTCATGTATTCGAAAATTTGATCAAATACACCGAACACTGTAATTGTATGTAAAATGCGCATATAATGTAATATAATACAGTCAATAATTATATATTATATATTAAATGTGTTACGTGACTCGCAGCTGTCTCTGTAGAAGTTTTAGATGACACAAATTAATTACACAAAATACATGAAACAAAATAATAAAACACATTGATTATTACTGGTCGTCATTATAGTGAGAGTCCAGTTGTCGCTAGCAGGATTCGGTATAGAGAGGTTGTTACTGAGTTGGGTGATGCGGATGCACTGACTAATTGACGAGACGTCGATACGGTTATGCTGATCAGAGAGCGGTAGGCGGTTTTATCAAAAGGTTATTTTGAGCATCCGAGAATAGTAGATTTCTCTTTAGTGGCAAAGACCCTTTTTCGACCATACCTATTCTCTGGTGGCATATAAGAAAGCCACAACCCCTACGCTTTACAGTTGCAAGTAGATACGTGCCAATTTCTTAATTAGTGATCGTACAATATAGATGTTATCTGTGATAATGGTATTATTGGGGTCTACGGATGTCCGATTTCCACGTGCGACAGTCTGTCCTTTGTTTATTAGTCTGTCACATTTTATTTAATTATTATATTTAATATTTGTTTTATTATTAAAATGTTTGATTGTCTGTGTCTAACAGCCGAGTTTCGGAAATGTGCCCAGACCGGATGGTCCCGTGCTGGAAGAGTATCGACTGCGGAGCTTCTCGATCACTGCCAGTGGCGTTTGCAACCTAGGCGACTTTGTGCGGTACGCCTCGCCACCGTCATCCACTCGACACCATCAACCGGTCGGGAAGCGCGAGAGTTGCCCCGCATCCGTTTCCGGTACACCGTTACACCAGCAAAACGCGAATGGTTCTTCCGCCACCACTGCCACCGCTACTTCGCACACGGTCTGCACGGAATTCTCCAGATTCCGAAAACCCAGGTAGGTCAACTAATGTTGCATTGTCGCCGTTTGGACACAATCGTAGATGATCGATCGATGACGATAATACATAGTTTTACTACCCCTAAAACGGCTAAAACGGAAACCAAAAAATTTCCAAGAATTTTGATATTGTACTTAACAAATATTAATTTGATATTATTGACCTATATTTTTACTCCAAAACATTATTATTGGTAAATTTAGACAACTCGATTACATTATACAGCCTTAACGACCGTGACATAAATTCAATGGCATAATATGTTGAGTATCAATCACAAATTTTTACACATAATAAATTATATTAGTATTATTGTATCGTTGTATACCTGCTATTTAAATAATAGTATTGTTGAACGAATAATATTTTTAGTTTTTACAGTGAACCTATACGTATAACTAGTATTACTTTTTACAAAGGAGAATTTAGAATCTTAGCACTATAATTATCCACTAACGTTTTATTGTACCACAAATTAAAACATGCATGTTTTCTCGGGTTATAGGGATATTATATAAATATAAATTAGTTCAACTTACCTTTATATTACTTATTTAACACCTCTAAATCATTACTCATGGACAATCTCTTGGATCTATAATCTTAAGTAGAAATGGTTACTACGTTACAATATAATCACTCCGAAATAATTAGAAATCTGTTCTCTTGTTGAACATAGTATAGAAATTACAGACATAGACATGGGTGGTGTTGCAGAGTAAGGTATGCATATGTGGCATTAATTTCATCCTTAAAAATAGTATTAACCACAAATTATAAATGCCCCTAATCAAAACCCTAAAAAATACCTATACTATGATGTATGAAAATCAATTTTTTTCTTTGTCATAATTTATTAATAAGAACAAATTATTTTGACCTATAAAAAAAATTAATTTATTAAATAAGTAGGTAATTTGTTGTTTTTTTTTGGAGATCACTTGAAAAACATCACAAATTTGTAATGTTTTGTTGGAGTGTTAGGTAAAAAGATAGGAAGGAATTCACCACCTGTGAACATTGTCTGCGCATGCCTATGATTACAGGTAATAACTGTTAATCACCAAGCTCAAAAAGCTTTCACGTTAACAAATAATTAACCAAAGCATTGCACGTCGTACAAAACTTTTGACACAATCTTTCTAAAAAATCAACTTTTGTTTAATATTATGGTAGAACCATTATTTGAAATCATATTTATGGAAATCAGTGTGCTATACCCCTACTTTTACATGTTATATTAATTTGACAATACGTAAATAAAACAAATAAACGTATTTTATATAATATACTGTATAATACTATACTGTTGTATGTATCTAAGTATAAAAATGTATTCACCTGCAAACAAAAACAATTAATACAAAATCAGCACTTAAATTATAAAATTAATGTTTCTTAGAAATATTTTCAACAATAAAATATTAAGTAGTTCAATTACGTAAATCTCTGAAAATCAAATACCACTAGAGAAGAGTGGCTGCCTTGGTTTTATAACAGTATTCTGAACAATTATAATATTTCAATAAACCATGACAATAAGCCAACTAACGAGTATCAGCTGCTCTCAAAATCTAGACTCATCAACTTAATAATCATTACACTATAATATAATGCGTTAATGTCGATAACCATGATACAGTAATAATATTATGTTTTACTATAAAGATGACTGAAAACACCACGTGGTTGAATTACGTTGAGTGTGAAAATATTTACATTTGCTGATAATATATTATACTGTATAGTGTACAGTGTATATTATTTTCAATTTTGTTTTAAACATTGTATCATAATATACCACGAGTGAAAAGATTTCCACTCGTATATTTTCCGTTAAAACTCGATAGTGAACGTTGATAACTTGTGATATTTTCCAAACGCGTTTAAATTATTATAGACATGTTCTCGAGAATTGTCCCGCTCTGCTGCAGTAACGTTACAATCTGATAAACTTGTTTTGTTATTTTTTCAGTACGGCGCTGACAAACAAGTTTAAAGCCAACGACACCGTCGAATCGTACAAGGTGGCGTTGCTAGGGGCCCCGGGTGTCGGAAAGACCACGATATCTGTACAGTTTTCGACGTCCGATTACATATGTGTGTACGACACTTCCATAGGTAAGTAATTTCGGTAATGTCTCGAAATATTTTATCGCGATGTAATGTGAAGTTACGTTAAACGCATATCCAGCTATGTATAATATTACATTGCATATTTTCAATAAGGAACATCCAAAAACATAAATATATTCCTTGTCGTTGACCGCTGTATTATATTTGAGTATGATAATACTATAATCTAGTACCCGATTAAGTATTTATGTTTATGTATAGGTACCTTTGATATGTTTTAAGTGTACTAATGTCGAATAGGAAGCTTAAATAATATTGTGTAATATTCCACATTAACACTGCCATTGTGTACTAATAAACTACATTAAATTTGAATTTTTACAATATACCGCATTTTCGTTTTGAATAAATCAATTTTATTATTCAATTTAAAATCAAACTAACAACTATTAATTATTAATAACCATAGGATTATGAAATATTAATGAATTGTTATTGAACTACAATTTTGGAATGTACAATAAATATTAATAAGTCATAAGTAAAAGCAATACTGATTTTTTATTGACATTTTTTTCATATCACAAAGTATAATTTGTATAACACAATGTGCTACTATAAATAAAATATAATATATATATACACTTAAATTTAATAAATACTACATTAATACAAAATACTAATAAGTGCATAATGTAAATAATATGACATATAAATTATTAATATTACATGGTATATTATATTGTAATTATAAAATGACATAAAAAAGTTTATCATGTATTGATTTATCTATTTCTTGTAACAAGAAAAACACAACCTCACTAACGTTTTATTTTAAAACATATTGCATTTTCTATTAAAATTGATATTCTAATTATTTCTGAACTAAAATAAGCAAAACTGTGACATTATAATTACTATCACATGTCATTCGAAGTTTAAAGCGAAATTCACATACTTCCATAATTAGTTGTGTCTTACATTTCCGTACGTATAACGAAATACCTAACGTTCCGGTCGTGTCCATTCCCCCGTCGAAACTCGTGTTGCTATGGTTACCAATCCATTGTTGGTTTTATAAAAATATTATCTAACCTCATTTTAAGGCCTACAGGCATCGTCATTTTTATTTTATCTCTGTATCGGCATTAAGTTTATTAAATGTTAACTTGATTTATTTTCACTGCTTATTCCATTATTACGAATCCACTTAATTAGTTTCTTATATTAAAGAAGACAGTGATAATACTAGCACAATATAAACACAAATAATTAAAATGACATAAAAAATTTAATTTTATTACTATTAATTGAAAAATAAAATGGATAAATAAAATACATTATTGAACAATGGTACATAATATATTGTACTTTATTATAAATTCTTATACATCATGTCCATACTTATATTGAGTATTACTGAGTATAATACCTTTATAATTGTTGGTCATAAATTTCACTCAAGTAACTACTGATAACAATATTAAGTATACTTACACAAATTACATTGATTAAAAAAAATTAATATTATATTGGTTATGATTTCCTATCTATCAATTACATTTATATTACATTATACATATTATACTATAATGTGATGACTTGTAAAAACATGATCTATGTGTTCACTTCAATGGAAAATAAAAATATTGATGAGTTATCCAACTTCATTAATCAAACGAAGAAATTAAATTCATGATAACTTATTTTTCTTTATGCAGTTCAAACAAATAAAACTAGTTCCGTAAAAATTGACTGAAAGTCGGAAATTTATATTTTTTAGATTTCATAAATTCATAAGGATTCTTAACAAAACGTGGTCTGTATTTGTTTTGATGCTATTTTTTTTAAAAATATTTTACTTATCGATTTTCAGGAAAAAGCAATAATATACATTCTTCAAGAGTTTTATTTTGGTGTACTTATCTACATCTAAGAAATTGTAAATAGTCACTAGTCGGTCATTGGTTTTCTTAGTAGCCTAACAATACCAATAATTCAAAATTTTGATTATTTTATTACAATTATCACTTATTAGATGATAATAATAATACAAAAAGACTTGAAAATGATCTTGGCATATGTATTTTCATTCCTGAACATTAATATATTGGTATATAAATTTATCTATTTCAAAATGTTGGAATAAAGTGGAATATTACAGAAATATTAAAAAATAAAAATAATAATATTTGAAAACTAGTAAGCGGTTTACCTATGTGAAATAAAACTGTTTAATTTTACATTTTAAATACACAGAATTCAGTGAAAATTTTTTTATAAATAAGTAACTCATACAAACATGCTATATTTTCAACAAAAAATTGAAAAGTGTCGACATTTACTAATGTGTTTCAATAATTAAAGGAACAAAGATCTTTAAAAACATTATTATTTCAAAACAAAATGATCTATAAAACGTAGTTAATTTAAAATAACAACAAGTAAATATTTTAAGAAATTAAATTTATCAATCGCTGTATCACTTAAATTCACTCAGAGAATTTTTCTTCCTAATTGCAATTAAATTAATATTATTCAGTAACATGATTTAAACTAATAATGATAAATATAATACAAGTATTAATAAATAATTATCACTGACGAAATAATAAAAAAAATCTTCATCGTTCCAAAAATGTAATTGTGTGAGTAGCTAGGAACAAAATATGTTATGTCTTATCATCCGTTCTTATTTGTTGAAAGTAATGGTCTACATTATCATTCATAGGTAATATAATGTAATAATAATTATTATGATTTATTTATTTGTTTTAATAACAAATATAAATTACAATTAATGTAACATAACATTTCATATCCATATTATGTTACATCGAAAATATTGTTGGGAGTTTCAATTTGTTGGTGCCTTTTATAAAAAAAGAAAATTAAATCCTGAAAATCTTAAATAAAGTATAATTATACTTAGCATAGAATACACCTGTTTAAAATACAATTTATATGAATTTTCGAAAAAATCATTCCTACGATTTAACATTTTTATCCATAATGGGGCAATGTAAATAATAAGCAATACGATAAAATAAATGCCTGTCACTGATATCATAAAATGGCGATCTTTATTTTTAATCATTTTATTCAAACAGATTGGTATATTTTAGTATCTGTCAATATATTTCGTTGGACAAATAGCTTATCTACTCCAAACGTTTCACAAAGCTCCATTAGAGATAAGATAAATAATTACTTCAAATATTTTTGTTTTTTCAAGTATTTTTTGTCCATTTTTATTTTTACCGATATCCTGAGTTTAAAATAAATACAAATCAAACATGGGATGTTTATTAAAATAAAATTTAAAAAAAGTTTTTCGTTCCATTAAAATTTAAAGTTATTATATAAAATAGATCCCCTTAAAATTATTATCTTTGGCTCTCCTTAGACTTAAACGAATACGATGTCTAATTATTAATTATTTCAAAGATTATTTTATAATAATATCATACTCTGCAAGTTTGCATACTTCAGAATCATTAAAGCGATTTCATATCAATGTTTAAATAAAATCATTAAATCTCCAAATTAATAAATTAATAATATTTAATTCTAGCACAATAAATGGCAATGTTATGATAATAAATTAACAAAGATGAAAATATTGCATTTAATTTCTTATAAATACATATTTATTTTAAATAATTATGTTTGTTAATAAATGAACAGTTAAAAATGATTGTGTTTTATTTATAGACGAAGACTGCGCTTGTCGGACCATTAGAGTGATGATAAACGGTCAGGAAGCAGAATTAACCATCATTGATATACCATACATAGAAATGTCGGTAAGTTTCTATTGACCAGTGTATGCTATCAGACAAAACAAAACAAAATCGTATAACATTATGTTCCAAGACCATAAAAAGTGTTTTTACCTACGCAATATTCTTGTTGCCTTTTGAAATTGTTTTCGCTTAAAATCGATCATTGTTCCAAGAGAACGTGGACAGATGTTTTACAAAAATGTTTATAAGACAAAAAATAAAAATAACCATGAAATATACCATTCGCTAATTAAGAGATATAAATCAAAATAAGAAGCTTAATTGTACACCCACGCGTAAAATATCGATTATTCATCAAAGGATTCACAAGTTATTATTCAACACCAATAAGCGTTGATAGGACTGATAGATACTTAAAAAGTTCACGAAACTAACAAATGGACAATGTTACAATAAATAAATTCATATTAGCATTTTCTTTATATGATATAATTAAAAAACTGTTTAACTCTTCTTGAGCTGTGAAGTACTAAGGACATATTTGGTTTTTTTTTTTTATGCATTAAATGAATTTGGTCATAAAGGTTAGAAATGTAAAACAAGATTTTTCATAAGTTTTTATTATAGTTATTTAAAAATATAAAAGATACATTTTATAAGCTTGATTTTTTTTACAGACATTTTAACTTCAAATTTTACGAAATTAGATAGATATTTAAATAACGATAAAAATCAATTTAAGTGTAATTCAAAAATATTTTTCGCGGGGATTTGAACTTTTGAGTTTATTATTTTATTTTATATACCTATAGTCTACTCAATGACATTTTCAAAATAATTAAATTTTTTTTATGATATTGCCTATTTCATATTTGTGCTGCGAACCTATTTTCACCGTCTCTAAAAAAATCGTTATTAAATCAAAACTTAATAACAATAATAATATGTGATATAAAATATAAATAGTATAATATATATAGTACATAGTATGTAGTATATACAATTGTGATAACTAAATTTTAATAATAAATGCAATGTTTTCGGCATAATAATGTTAGCCTATTAATTATAATAGCAATAAAAATATTATATAAAATATTCTATATTTTGTAGCTGTTCAATAGTTATCGCTTATATTCGTTTTACGTATCCAATGTCTATTGTCTTTTTTTAGATTAATTATACCGTATGTAGTCAAGTCAGGAACAAAAATATATAATGCACCACTAACCATCATTGATGTGAACAAATTGAGAAAAGTACAGAATTTGACCATTTTTAAAATCATGATGTCTGTTATAAAATTTCACAGTATAAGTTAGTTTTAAAAACACGTAGTCACTAGTGTCACTAGTACCAAAATACAAAATACGTAATTCCAGGACAGGATAATTTCGGCTCTGGGGAATTAAGTTTAAAAATATCGATGGGTTGAAAAAAAGAAGTGAACGAAAAAAACTGTATTGGTCCGTTTCACTAGACAAAGAAGAAACTGAATACAACTGGTGATCATTTTTATTTTTTATTTGGGTTAATGAATTAACTAAATTCGTTAGTTTCGTCTATCATTCTAAAACATAATCATATTAGTCTTGAAATATAGTGTTATAACATGTTTTATAAAACAATTAAATAAAATATTTTATCATTATAATTATAATTATCCAAAGTACCACTTATTTTATTAATAATTTAAAAGCTTACACCAATGTTGTAATTTAATATATAGTGTGTCATCAATAATATCTCTTTAGTGGCCTGGTGTAAGCGGGGTTTGACCTTTGACCTTAGTCTCTAACGTGTTCTGGGGTCAAGCATCAGCCAGTGTCACTGGTTTCCGGATGGGTGACCATCCAGGTCTTAGTGACAAATCCTCACCAACTATACACATGTTATAACCAACCATACCCTCCCCTCAGCAACAAACCTACTAAATAACCTAGACTAATGACCTCAGATGTTGAAGCTTTAACTCAATAAAATATAATATATTTAGTAAGTTTCATAACAAATTGAATATAATTTTTAATTTAATTAAATTTAATATTAGTTTGGATTCCATAATAAACAACTCTTTATGCACTATGTTAGTAATCAGTTTATTTATAACATAAAATCGTATTATGCCAACTACTTTAGGTAGCAAATGTGAGGACACTTTTTCTTTTATACATAATCCTATATAATATACTGATGTCGTCAGCATTTTGCATACTGTTATTAGCCATTAGGTATATGGTTTAAATTAAGAAAGGTATATCACTTAAATATAATTTATTCAACTTCAACATCGTTAAGTACCTACTCAAAGAGAAAGCTAACCCAAACTTATGTTTTTCCAAAACTTCTCATTTGTATACATAATATAAATTATTTTCAATGGTAGGTAATGGCTATTAAAAACTGGAAGCCATAATGCGGTTCGTTCGTTCGACGAAACTTAGACGTAGTTATGGAATCGAATACTAGCATCGAAAGTATAATGTTTCGCGTTCAAGCCAATCATCAACAATGTTCGGTAGTAAATAACTTTCTCTCCGAGCTGTAGGTACGCCATATAAACTATAACTCGTACAATACTTTTGAGTTCTACATATTAACGTTATTCAGAAAATGGCAATGGAAAATTGATAGGCAACTATAGAGGAAAAAGTAGACGACGTCGTCAGTTCATACACATTGGTAACGGAAAGGGCGGTCATTCGTTTGGCGTTTTAATAAATATGGCTTCCCTTTGAAAACGTCACTCGCTTGCAATTGCCGTTGCAACTACCTATACATGGTTTACGGCTCACACCGATTCAATTCTCAATACCGAAAGCATTTCTATCGCGTGAGCGTGACACGTCGTCCGCCAACACCATGTCTACAACCGTCACGTGTCACCAATTGAGTAAGACTTACGCATATATATATATTATATATATATATATATACCGTCGAATTCACATTTCCAAATCATTGAACCTCCCCATCGCGAACACACAAAATAGATAAAAAGAATTCATTCACACCGATAGTTTGTAACCTGTCGATCCGATGACAAGACCTACGTTGAAACATATAAATCAGTCATATATAGATCGATTCCATTGCCGACGACTGGTACAAGGTTAGGTTTCAAGCGCACTATAAATTTACATCTAATTTATTTGACAAACTCTCACAAAAGAACTCTTGATCACACTACGGCAAAGTTTTTAAGCCGTTATTCATTTCACCCAAAATGAGAATAAAATATTAAATCAAATGTTCCAAAGCTTATCGTTTCAACCAAAATATTATTTTAAACAATTATTAAATTGACTATTGACTATCGTCAAATAGGTAAAAATTATCAAATAAAAAAATAACGTATGTTTTTCTGTTAATTTATTAACAGTTACTGTGAAATATACCAATGCTTCCAATACATTCAAATCCTTTCGTTCAAATAGTAATGCCCTTGTCATATAAATTAGGTATTTTAAAGTATTGGTAGATACTGGCAACATTTTTTAGTTAAAATTATAGGTACATAGGTAGCTGAAAGAAAATATTAAATATTTTGGGAAAACGACACATGACTAATCGGCAATAAAATACAACGCCCAATAACAAAAAAATATTCTTAGTTTTCCTAATATAATTATGATGTTAAAAAATTGTGAAATTAAGTAACCACTATGATATAAATAGTTGTCGAGTATACCTAGTCATTGAGTAAGTTACTACAGTCACTACATACATAAATGAAGTCTGTTTTAAATTAGAATTCATTGATAGATCGTTGCATACCAAAAAATAATAACGACTGTGAGCGAAGATAAGCTGACAGTATATTTACTAAGTTTATTTAATGATAAATTATATATTTCGATTAAAATAATTGATTTGACTTTTAGTAAAGGTTAAATTCATTTTTACACTAAACATTGCATTTATTATGCTATTAAATATTAATATTTAATTTTATTGTAATTATGTGTAAGATCGTATTACATACCTAGTATGTATATATTATATATGTTGTATTATATATATATTATATACTATTGTTATTAGTTATCATTTATTATATTTTAGGTAAATAAACTTCGATTCAATATGTGTACCAAAAACAGTGAAACTAAATAGGTTCCTGATATAAATAGGCAATATCATGAAATAATAAATCTAAATGTTTTGAAAATGTTATTGTGCATATAAATTAAAATAATAAATATAAAAGTTTCAAATCCACACGAAAAATATTTTTGAATTACAACAACAATAACTAAAATCTTTATTCATCGTTTAAATATCAAATATCGTCTGAATTTGAACTTACTTGAACTTAAGATGTCTGTAAAAAAATTGTGCTTGTGTGTTTTAAATAATTTTGAATAGCTTTAACAACTTATTAGGAACCCCGCATTATATTTGTAATGGGTTTGACAGAGCAAACAATTTGTTCCTGGCAATTATTGAAAAAAAAATCTCATATTTCTATAAAAAGATTCAAAATATTTGTAAAAATATACCATGTATATAAAAGGATATCTACTTGTGGTTATCAGTTTTTGAATATTACGTACAACAAAATAAAAAAAACCGTTTTGCGTAAAAATTCCAGTTTTTTCCTGATATTTTTTTTGTTTTCAAGATTATTTTGAAATAAGTACTGGGAATTTTTAATTTTTATCTCCCAAAACCAAAAGTATCAACTAGATTAACTTTCACAAAAGATATAGGTTAAAAATTGAAGAAAATTGTCTACTAGGAATAGTTTATACACAAAAAGAAACTCACTCATTTAAATTGTAAAATCAATACATTCCAATGTAAAATTGAATTTGTTATAATAATTAAGTAAAAACTAAGAAATGAGCTTATACATTAAAAGTCGATGATTTCTTATTTCCTTTAATATATTTATCAACTTACTAATTTTTGAATATTTATTTATACATAATATTATGTTATGATACCTAATATAGTAACTATTTTCTCAAATTATGCTTTAAGATAATTTTTACAATTTGTACACTTTCTTTCATAATAATATGCAGTTATTCCGTTTTCATCATTAATTCTATGGT